GATTTTCGGTACCACACTACGGGCGGGTGGTATCGTTACCTGACAGTCATTAGTTTGGTCTTGAATAAGGTCGTCGAAACGGGCTTGTAAAGTAACTTTAACTACTATTACACAGTTTTGTCACACTGGTCTTCAAGGGTTCTGTATCCAATGTCAGCTTTTGATAAAGTTGCCGTCAGTCTATACGAAATCTTCACAAAGCTATCTAAATTAGTTTTGAAAAGATAAATTATTATGTAACCAGTTTGAGGGAAAGTGCTGTGAATCGGAGTTACACCTCGGATGACACAAAGATTCTCCCGTAAATTTGTATACGAGCTGAACCACTTGTTCATTCATTCATAGCTATTTCTATCACTTCAATGTTTACATCGTCTGAAACTCTTGACTGACAGCTCATTGAACATACATTTATTGCTATTGAATCAAACTTTCCAATACCTATTAGTCTTTCCACTTAGATCCTCTTATTTGACGTTATCTTTCACAGATTTAGAACACAAATGCACTTACTGATAAACCTCTATCAATTAGATAGCTCTGATAATAGGCAACAGTCTTCACCTTGTTCTCCGCGTTAATCTACTCAATTATTTATTATATAGTAGATCTTGGTCGCTAACGTGCCAAATTATCGTTCTAATTCTTCAAAGCTAGAATGCGTTGTCGAATTCGTGTGTTTATCTAGATTTTTTGTCTCCATTGTCACTGACTTCAGTTTCGCCCATTAAACAACATGACTTAAACGTTCATTTTTTGGTATACATATTTACTTATCCATTAGAAACTCGTGGAACACCAGGTTATTTGGCACCAGAGGTATTGATGTGTGGTTACTATGAAGACCAGCCTCCTTATGGTCAACCTGTTGATATCTGGGCATGTGGTGTAATTATGTATACTCTGTTAGCTGGTTGTCCCCCTTTTTGGAATCGTAAGGAACATTTGATGCTACGTCAGATTATGGAAGGTCGTTTCTCTTTCCCAAGTCCGGAATGGGATGATATAAGCGAATCTGCAAAAGATCTGGTGAGTTGCTGTACAAATGTTTGCATCCTTTATTTTTTTTTAATGTACAAACAACATAATCGCTGTAGATATCATAATTTTGACTTATGGTTTATAAAGTTGAAATACAATTTGATGTTGTTATTTTATCTGGGTTAAGTCTGCTTCAATTCATTCTGATACGATTATAGACCGGTATAAATATACTCTACTTATGGCGTAGGCATGATATCCGTTTGCTGACTAAAGGACGAGTGTACTGTGCAGCAGTTCGCTCCGTTCTCCTATATGGCTGTGAAACATGGCCAGTGAGAGTAGAAGATATTCGTAGGTTACTGGTTTTCGATCATAGGTATCTTCGAAGCATTGCTCGTATACCGTGGGACAACCGAGTAAACAATGCTGTCGTTAGGAAACGAGTACTAGGTAAGGATGGCAGATCAATAGATGAAGTAGTGAAACTTCATCATTTGAGGTGGTTGGGACATGTGTTGCGTATGCCTAATCACCGAATGCCTCGAAGAGCTTTGTTTTGTAGTGTAGGAGTAGGTTGGAAGAAAGCTAGGGGCGGTCAGACCAAAACATGGCAGAAATCCATGAAGTCATTGACGAGTGGACTTAGCCATGTTGGTAATTGTCGACTACCTGGTTGGGGTCCGCGAAATGATAATAATCTATGGTTAGAGACCTTGAATGATATGGCTCAAAATCGTTTGCAATGGCGCAGGTGCATTTATTCTTTGTGTTCTCTCAAATCCTAATCTTTAGGATTCTTCAACACCTCTAGTTTTGACTTTCTAAACTTTTCTCATTGAATCATACTTCTTGAATAATATCTTCTAATCCTAACCTCTCCGATTACTCCTAATACCTTTACTATCTCTACTACTATTGGATTTGGATTGACAATTACATCTCTGTACTGATGTGATATGGCAACATGAACTGATGTACTTACGTACCTAGTTTTACGTTGCATCTGACTGACTATTTAAATGTACTTAATTGAATTCGAATGTTATGTCTTATAACAAGTGTCCCGTAATCAATTGCAACATATATATAACCGTCACATACAGTCTTTTATAGCTAACCTAATTATTACCTGTAGCAAACTATATTTTCACTATCCTATTTACTAAGCATATTTTACATCATACACAACATTTGCTCTTAATATTTTTTTTTTGACTAATGTTGCGAAAATATCCTTATTTATCATTTATTCCTTTTTTTCATATTTTTTTTTATAAATAGATTTGTAAAATTCTAGTCGTCGATTCCAGTATAAGGTTGACAGCTTTAGATGCATTGAATCATGTATTCTTTTTACAACAAGTATGTGGATTGAATATATTATTAGTTTAAATTTTCTGTATATTTAACATTAACCATTTGCTAGGTGATCAGTTCATGTTAACATTTTGTTTTTTACGATTATTAACCTCTTTAGAGTGATATTTAAGGGAATAATATGTAAGATTTGCTACCGTTCGATCTTGAACATATAATTCTCGGTACTGGGAGGTACCTAAGTATTTAAGAGAGCATTCAAAGGTGGAGGACATACTCTCCGTACCAGGACATTCTGAGGCTCTTAAATGCCTCTCATACACTGTTTGTATGTATTTAGACCGCTTAATTAGTAATGCTAAGATCAAGCATAGCATTAATCCGTTGGTGAGACAATGGACTGTCGTTGATGAAAGTGGGTGGAATATTTTTCATTAGTGACAATAAAAGTCTAGTGTTTATTCTATCTAGTACCCGCAAATGTTAGCTCTTTTTTCCTAATGGCGTCAGTTGAGCAGTTTTTATAAAACTTGATCAATGTCGAATAGTGGTTTCATACTTTTTTGCAAACCTGTAAACAGTGTACACTCTCAAACTCTAAAAAGTAGTTTAGTTCATATTCATCATTTGTAAATTCTAGTGAATAGCTTGAAAGTCTGATATATGTATTTGTTAAAATAACCGTGAAATTCGCCAATCCTTAAATGAAAAGTTTAAGTCAAACTTGTAGGCTGGTTTTAAGAATTAATTCATGCTTAATATTATTTAAGTATGCTATTATCAGGAAATGGGTACTAGGTAAGGATGGCACATCAATAAATGGAGTATTGAAGCTTCATCAGTTGAAGTGGTTGGGATATGTGTTACGAATGCCCAACCACCGACTGCCTCGACAGGCTATGCTTTGTGTGTGTAGGAGTAGGTTGAAAGAAAGCTAAAGGCGGCCAAACCAAAAGATGGTACAAATCCATGAAGTCACTAACAACTGGATTGAGTCGTATTGGTAAGTATAGACTACCTAGTTAAGGTCCGCGAGATGATAATGATCAATGGTTAGAGACCTTGAATGATATGGCTTAAAGCCGTCTGTTATGGTGCAGGTGCATCCATTCTTCGGCTTCTCTGAAGTCCTAATCCTCTGGATTCCTCATCGCCTATATCTTTCTCTTTTTAAGTTTATTTCACTAGATTCTACTTCTTGAATAATATCTTTGAACCCTAATCTCCGATTACTGCTAATGCTTCTATCTCTACTACTGTGTGACTTGAGTTGACAATTGCGTCTCTGGCAACTTGAACTGATGTACGTACGTACGAAGTTCTATGTTGTATCTAACTGACTTATTTAGGTATCTGGAAATACTTTTTATGCCTAATATTTTTCGTCACTTCGTAATTTATATTTTTGAAACCAATTGATACAATCTTGACGAAAGTCAGTAGCTTAATGGTTAATATATTTAATTTTTGACCACTGGGTTGCAGATTCAAACTTCATTCTAATTACTTTGTTTTAAAACATCAGGCAGCATTATTAGTCCTCAAGTGTTTACTTGATAAACAAGTTAATAAAAATGACTAAAGTCCTGACAAAAATACTAAGTATTAATAAGAGGTATATTTGTTTTAGGAAAGTTATATTCAAAGCATATACTAATAATTTTCTCACTTATTTTAGCCTATAGTTGGCAAGAAAACATTTGATGCTCGACAAAAATTTAAGGTGAGGATTAAAAATAAATGTTTATTATTTTATATATGTATATTTTATGTAAAAAAATTCCATTTGTTTAGTGGAATCCAGTGATCTAGAATTTCACATCCTCGTCACAACTCAGTTAATGACTTCGTAGATTGATTCTATATTTTAAGTCTGATCATTCTTAGTTTTTCTCTGTTCACGCCTTCGTTTCATGCTATTAAAGATGCTTACTGGGATATATCTAATGTGTTCCAGTCACCTCAATAGAGAGATCTAGTCTCATCAGTTGATGCACCGTTTTTCGAGGGATGCTTTGATGATATCTATGATTACATGTTTTCAACATACACATGCTTTTTACTTCTACAGGACATATTTCATAACCATAAACTGATAGAAAAAACCGCAGTTGCTACCTTGATGTGGTTGTCCGGCTTGCTTGTCATGACGACTCAACTGGGCTACATTGGTTGGAACATATGTTTCTTTAGGTCCTACCATGGCAGATAGGTCGATTGGAGAACAGTCAGACTAAAAGCAGCGACTCGGGGTCTAAGGACAAAGGGGGTACTGCTTGCTGACTGTAGGGGGATGTTGACGGCAGTAAACTGTTCCTCTCGGACAACCAGCATTTGCAGCGATGCTGCCTTCTCACAACGGAAAGAAAGGATTAAGAGAGGTCGAATATTTAAATATCACACCTCACTTTACTCCACAGATTTCCTTCTCCGGTGGTGAAGCCTTTTAAAGAGCGAAGCTAGCACCTCTTAATCCTCCCACAAAAAGGTCGTGCGTGACCGGTTTCAAGCATTTGTCACTTAGGCTCTGCGGTCACGTTCCCAGGTCGCTAAGACCAACACTAGCCCAACTTCCTTTTCAGATTCTCCATGAAGTACCCTTATATGGAGTTGGCAGCTAAGAAGTGACATTCATCTTCACACCCCCTAACAACAACTTGTAGAAAGAATACTTGTCCAGTTTATTCGTTTTTCAATAAATAAAGAAACGTTATATATGCCACGGATTTCTGTAATGACATCAATATAAATCGTTTATAAAGTAGAGGTGCAAGTACTTGACTTTGAGTCATAATATACGTTTTAAGGCCTATTATTAGTACTATCTACTCGCCGGAACTAAAGCTTGTTGTGTGAAGTTTGAAACTTGAACTTAATGATTGAAAGTTTAGTGTTTTATCCACTAAGCTACTACTGATATTTCATTAGCTTATGCCAATAATTAAATTAGGTTTATTTTTGGGAAGAATTTACAGATCTTATGGATGATATAAGATGCGGAACTGGATTGATTACCAAACACTGTTTTTGATCCACTCAGACTTTTAAAATGTGTCAATAAGCATAATGATTTTGTCTCTAACGAGGTCAGTCAGTCAGTCAGATGCAACGTAGAACTTCGTACGTATGTACATCAGGTCATGTTGCCATACCACATTAGCAAACAGAGACGCAAATGTCAAATGAAATCCAATAGTGATAGCGATAGTATAAGCATTAGCGGTAATAGGAAGATTCCGATTCAAAGATATTATTCAAGAAGTATAATTCAGTGACATAACTTTAGAAAGAGAAAGATGAAGGTGATGAGAAATTCGGAAGATTAGCATTTCCGAGAACACAGAGTGGATGCACCAGCGGCGTCATTGCTAACGATTTTGAGCCATGTCGTTCAAGGTCTCTACTCTAACGAGGTAATATTTACTAAATAAACTTCATAAAATCAACACCTAAGGAGAATGCATCTCAATAATATTTATAATAATAAATTCACTACATTCAACACGACAAGACTTTTTTTTCATTCTGGTACTGCAATCTATATAAATTAATTAAATTATATTAAATTAAATTAAACATAAAAAACGTAATCAATTAAATTTTGTTTTTACACTTCATTCTTTCGTTTTTTTTTTGATCAACTCTATCAAGACTAGTATGATAGCTGTGAGTTTTATATTTTATCTACGTCGTTTAAAAGTGGATGCTGCCTATTTAAATATTAATCAATTATCTACTGATCCATATTCCAATAGAAAATTACGTAAAATCATTGATACACTTGCTTATGATGTTTATAGTCAATGGGTTAAAAAAGGTGAAGAACAAAATCGTGCTGAATTATTTGAAAATGCACCACGTCGTGATATGATTGATGCACCACCGCAAGATAGTGTATTCAGCGATAGTTTACAACGTTCACTATTAACCGGTGGTGGTGGTGATTCCATGAATTATGCACCATTCAATTTTGATGATGAAGAAGACGATGAAGATATTAGGATACCAATTAGAGTAGATTATTAATTTAAAAAATAAAATGAAATAATACTTTTTGTTACAATTTGTATTTTTAGTTTAGATTTAGTTACCCAACCAACCACCCACCCCCACCCCCTAACTTTTCTCTATCTCATATATATATATATATATATATATATATATATATATATATATACCTCGGTGCAATAAAACAAGTAGACCCTATCTCATTATACCCTGTTGTTGTTGTCGTTTGAACAACACAAAAATCTGTATACAAAAGAACAAAAAAAATGAGCACTCTACCTATCTATCTATCTATGTAGAGAGAGAAAAACCTTCCTTCCACTTTCATTTCTTCGTTTATATTTCAATGTATAGAAGAACGAGAAGCAACAGTTGTTATTTTCTCTCTTTTTTTATTTCTCGTTCCTATCTTTCTCATTTATGTCTTTTTTTATTTCTAGTCGAATTGTCCAGTTTTCTTTTTGTTTTGTTTTTCTCCTCTGTGCATTATGAAAATAATTGATCAGTTTGTTATATATAAAAAAAAATAATATCAGCCTATTATTATTCTTATTATTTTTTTAAAAAAAAATTTTATTTCATAATAATAATATTATTTCAATATAAAAAAGAAAAAAGAAAATAGTAATTATTCGATTTTGTTTTTGCATATTAAAATCTGATAGTGAGTGATGAGTGGACAAGGAGAGAAGATTGAGTTGATGCCAAAGGTCCCGGGTTCGAATCCTGCGAGGAGCAGGAGTCGTGGATGCGCAGTGCTGAGGAGTCCCATACCAGGACGAAACGGCCGTCCAGTGCTTCCAGGTGTCTAACAATGATGATTGATTAATGATTTCAAATGTGTAAAAAAATATGTGTTGTGTATTTCGAACAATCTGGTCTGTCTGTCTGTCTGTCAGTTACAACGTAGAAGAGCTTCGTACGTTATACGACTTGATGACATAGTTTTATTTGGTGAAGACGCTGACAAAATGTAGAGTCTTCTGACTATCCTAAGCAACAATGCAAGCATTGTTCGGGATGCGGTTTTCCCCCCTTGAAATGTAAAATGTTGATTCAAGATTGGGTTGCATCGGTACCTAAACTAGTGATAAAGAGTAGTGAAGTAGTTGAGTGTGTTGACCACTTCACGTATTTGGGGAGTCTTATCAGTGCTTGTGACTGATGAAATCTCAGCACGGATACAGAAGGCTTGGTTGGCTTTTGTCAACTTGCGTTACTTATGATGTAGGCGAGATATCTGTTTATTAACCAAAGAACGAGTGTACTGCTCAGTAGTTCGTCCGTCCTACTATATGGCTGTGAGACATGGTCGGTAAGAGAAGAAGACATTCGTAGGTTATTAGTATTCGATTATAGATGTCTCCGAAGTATTGCTGGTATATCCTGGGACAGCTGAGTAAGCAGTGCTGGAGTTAGGAAACGAGTACTATGTAGGGATGGCAAGTCAGCAGATGAAGTATCGAGATTGTATCGGTTGAGGTGGTTGGGACATGTTTTACGTATGCCCGACTACCGTCTGCCTCGACGAGCGATGTCTTGTGGTGTAGGAGTAGGTTGGAAAAAACCTAGGGACAGCCAAAACATGGCGCAAATCCATAAAATCACTGACAGGTGGACTGAGTCATGTTGATAGATGTATACTACCTGGTTGGGGTCCGTGAGACAATAGTAACCGATGGTTAGAGACTGAGTGACATGTCTCAGGTGCATCCACTCTTTGTGTTCTCTCAAATTCTAACCTTCTGAATTGTTCATCACCTCTATCTTTCTCTTTCTAAAATAATCTCACTCAATTATACTTCTCGAATGATATCTTCGAACCCTAATCTTGTCCATTACTGCTAATGCTTCTACTACCGCTACCACTATGAGATTTAAAGTGTTGATGTGGTATGACAACCTGAACTCATGTACGAAGTTCTACATTCTAACTCACTGACTTGCTATACTACCAGTACAGATATGCAGTTGTCTATTCAAATCCTATAGTGGTAGAGGTAGTAAAAGTATGAGCAGTAGTCGAAAAGATCACGGTCCGATGATATTATTCAAGAAGTAGAATCTAGTGAAATAGATTTGAGGTGAGAAAGATGAAAGTCATGTGGAGTTTAAATTAGGATTTCGGAGAACACAAAGAACATTCTGGACAGTACATATACTTATCAAGACATTTATATGTAAGAATTTATAAATATTCAAATGATAAGCGCGAGGAAAAAATTTATAGAATATTTTTTAAAAAAAATATGTAATTGTCATATCATCTTAAGCTATCGGATAGCTTAACAATATGTAGGGTCATGGTCGCAACAAATTTTTTCATGTGCACAGGTCTTAGTAGATTCAAATACAAAAAGTATGCTTAATCATATGAAGAATTGTATCTTTTGTCTAATTAATTGAATGCTAGTGACTGGTTAAACCAATACGCAGCATCAAGTTTATGAAGACACTGATTACTGGACTATGAGTCATGTTGGTTAGTTTAGACCATTACCTGGTTAGGGTCCACGTGATTATCGTGACCAATGATTGGAGACTTTGGGTGAAACAACTTGGAATCAGTCACAACAGTACACATGTGTTTACTCTGTATCCTATTAAACTTTGAGTTTCGAAATTATCTTTTTCTATCTAATGCACAAATTCACTCTTCTCGAACCATATCTTTTATGACCAGTGACACTGTTATTTCGGGATTTATCAGGATACTTCATCTCATCATGTACAACCTTGGAATAATGCACATAAGTACTTGCTTTACGTTTTGTATGCTGACTATATGGTGTTTTGGAACTTAAACTTTATGGAAAAAGTCATTAAATGAGGAATATTTGTCAATCACTTCGAAATCAACGCGACTGATACATCTAGGTAACTCTAGTCGTTAAGTTCTACGGTGGGACCTTTTACTGTATTTATTTTTGATGAAACCATGAATCGATAAGTGTTTAGCAAGTAATGGAGGGCTGTTTCTTCCTAGTATAAGACTCCTCAGCACATCCACAACCTCACAGGTGGTAATCGAACCTGGGACCCTCAGTCTCGCGCGCGAACGCCTAACCTGTAGATCACTGAATTGGCATTCGACAGTGTTAATGTCTAACTTCATTTAAAGCCCGATTAAGCGCGACCATCATTGAAGGCGTTCACAATTCCTTATTAATGTGAACTGTACACATTCTGCATTCTAAAAAAAATTATGCCACCGATAATTGGTTACAAAAATTAATGAATGATAAAGTACTTCTCTGTGTGTGTTCATTTTAACATCTCTTAAATGAAATTGTTAACATTGGTTTTTTGCGGTGGAGTTTCGTTCTCTGAGTTGGATGTGTTTGGTTGTGGAGTTTTCATTGTTCAACTGAACACAGTATCATCAGTGCAAACTTGAGATAGAAGTGAAGTATTGGAATTTCTTCACGTATAACCCGTAGCTTGTTTTGCTAACCTCGATTTAGATTGGTTATTATTGACCTTAACATTGTTTTCCATAAAACAGCCAGAATTGTGAAGATACATGTTAAAATACTTAAACTCAGTACATGTGTTGTGTATATCTAACCACCGACTGCCTCGTCAAGTGATGTTTTACAATGTAGGAGTAGGTTGAAAGAAAGCTAGAGGTGGCCAAACCCAATACATGGCACAAATCCATGAAGTCACTGACAACTAGATTGAGTCATGTTGTTAAGTGTAGACTATACCTGGTTAAGGTCCGCGAGATGACAGACATGCAACAAGCGAAATAGGCACACATGAATAAAAGCGACGAATGATTAACAAAGTCAAATGACAAGTGGACATGTCATGTGAGCTCATCTACAAACCAGACAATAATAATAAGAACGAATGGTACACATATAAATTGTTGCTATAACAATAATGGCTTGGTCGAATAAATTAATCATCAAAAGGGCTTATTAACCAAATTAAATGTAAGCGAACTGGAATATATGTGTGGAGGCACTACAACATATCCAGTTGGTAAGACATAAAACAGGGAGGAAATACACTTATATTGAATTGCAATAGTTACTCACTTTCTCTAGAAGTTTCATAAAAATATGACGACAATCAAGTTACAGACATATAATTATTGTCAATCAACTTCAAGTATTAGTATTGACACATTAAAATATCAAATAAGACATTTTTCATACAGAATACATAGTCACATGATACTTAATTGAACTCACAAAAAAAATATAACACATCCATACTACATATTCCACAATCAATACTAAGCCTAGTGAAATGACAACTTCACTGTCAAACTCTGATCAATCTTAGTTTAGATTAATTATCTTGTTGTCACAGTTATTTCAATTTACGATTAAAGTTTCCACATATTTGATTAAGAGTATCATGCAAGAAAAGGATTCAGTTATAGTTATAGCCTGGTGACTGACGAAATCTCAGCTCGGATACAGAAGGCTCGATTGGCTTTTGCCAACCTGCGTCACTTATGGCGTAGGCGTGATATCTGTTCGCTAACCAAAGGGCGGATGTACTGCGCAGCAGTTCGTTCCGTTCTCCTACATGGATGCGAAACATGACCGTTAAGAGTAGAAGACATTCCTAGGTTATTAGTATTCGATTATAGATGTCTCCGAAGCAGTGCTGGAGTTAGGAAACGAGTACTATGTAGGGATGGCAAGTCAGCAGATGAAGCATCGAGATTGTATCGGTTAAGGTGGTTGGGACATGTTTTACGTATGCCCGACTACTGTCTGCCTCGATGAGCGATGTCTTGTGGTGTAAGAGTAGGTTGGAAAAAACCTAGGGGCAGCGAAAACATGGCAGGAATCCATGAAGTCACTGACAGGTGGACTGAGTCATGTTGATAGATGTATACTAATTGGTTGGGGTCCGCGAGACAATAGTAACCGATGGTTAGATACTGAGTGACATGGATCAAAACAGTTTGCAATGGCGCAGGTGCATCCACTCTTTGTGTTCTCTCAAATTCCAACCTTCTGAATTCCTCATCACCTCTATCTTTCTAAAATAATCTCACTCAATTATACTTCTCGAATGATATCTTCGAACCCTAATCTTCTCCATTACTGCTAATACTTCTACTACCGCTACCACTATGAGATTTGAAGTGACAGTTGCCTCGCTGTGTTGATGTGTTACGGCAACCTGAACTAATGTACTCATGTACGAAGTTCTACATTTTAACTCACTATACCACTAGTACAAATATTCAGTTGTCTATTCAAATCCTATAGTGGTAGAGGTAGTAAAAGTATGAGCAGTAGTCGAAAAGATCACGGTCCGATGATATTATCCAAGAAGTGGAATCTAGTGAAATAGATTTGAGATGAGAAAGATGAAAGTCATGTGGAGTTTAAATTAAGATTTGGGAGAACACAAAGGACAATCTGGACAGTACATATACTTGTCAAGACATTTATATATAAGAATTTATAAAGATTCAAATGATAAGCGCGAGGAAAAAATTTATAGAATATTTTTTAAAAAATATGTAATTGTCATATCATCTTAAGCTATTGGATAGCTTAACAATGTGTAGGGTCATGGTCGCAACAA